AAGTTTGTTAATGGCTTCTATTTATAAGCATTAATTTTCTACGGATTATTATGAGTCTTTAATAAAAATTCACGAAAAAAAGACGGGAGAAAAACAATAGATAAGTACCATGTCCTGTCGCGGAAACAATAATGCCTACAAGAGTGGAATAAAAAATTCACACCTTGGCTGGTTTAACACCTTGACGGAAACGGACCATAAGTTCACTACCTACTAAATGATGTATTAAAATTGTCACTAGTTTGATATGGGAATATCATGGCGAGTAATGACACTTGCTCTCACTGGTAGGTAAGCTCTTCCAGCTGTGAAAAGTGAACCATCATCTCTGGATCGTAACCTTACCGAATGAAGACGCTGTGTTTCATCGTCAAAGCTGGATTGATCTTCTTTGGTATTGCGAGAACTTACTGTATGATACAAAATTGGCAAATCTGGACTTGCTTTCTTACAAAACTTTCTGTAATAAAAAAAATTGTTTTGAGTGAATACAAAATTCAAATACTGTAGGTATGACCCTGTCGCATATGACTTGTTTACCACTTCCGTGTCACTGAGAATGTTCTAGAACCGTACTGTACTCTTTATGTGTAAATGAATCCCCAAGCTTCCTCTTAACCATACTGAAAAAGCACTCAATGTCATCAGTTGTACCAGCTCGAGGATGCTCAGCCTGAAAGTTGTCACTACATATTTGTCTTCTTCGAAACTCCTGTGATTCATCATTTATTACAATCGCAATTAAAGACTCCCTCGATAATCCTTTAACACCCTTCAAAGGCCTGAAAAATAACAAAAATTATAAATTTTGTATTGAGATGTGAGAACCGATTACTATAAAGATGAGAAAAAAAAATATCTCTGTTTCTCGTTTCTGCGCGCATCATTTTGAACTATGCGCCTCGGACGTTTTTTTTTACTTCTAATGCATTCCAAAATGCGCTTGTGCTCGCACTTGTCACAAATTTCCCCTATTTTAGCTCAGTATTTAAAAAAAAAATCGTCTTGCCGCCTCATTTTAAAATTTCCATGAAACGAGAAATAGAGAATTTTTTTTCCTGGCCTAACATTAACTGTATAGTTTTGTCCATATACATTGTACTGAATATATGCAACTGTAAGATGACTAACCTGTTCACATCATCACATCAATAGTGGCAAAGTCATACACTTCTTTGTGCCATGGCATCATATCCTCAAGTATATAGTTTAACATTCTATAATTGCTTTTCTGTCGTTGTAGCTGAGA